GTGCAGCTGTGAGCAGTGGCCTTATCTCGGAGCTGAACAGTTACCCCCTTGTTTTTTCCTTGTGTCTGCCTCTGGCTTAGGAGAGCCAGGACCTCTACCTGACCTGTCACGCATTCTTTTGTAATGCTTTTTGAACTGCAGAATCTCTTTATCGCTACCTTATCTTTGAAACTGGCACATTAGCTCTGGCAGCCCCGTGGTCAGAAAGTTCTGACAAAGTACACACGTCTCCTTCCCGTATTTGTCCATCTCTTCCTTCTTTACAGGGACCCCATGACAGGTACAGTGCCCTGATGGGTGAGAGTCCCCCAGCCCCGCAGGTGACGGTGAGCTCTGAGGCCGGTGTGCATGTAAAGACACCAAGAGGCGGGAAGCCAGTCAGAGGTGATGTAAATGCGTTTTAAGTACATGCAGCTTCAAGCCAGTGCGGGGCGACCCCCAGGGAGGCAGATCTGGGCCATGACGTGCTGCAGGGCTGAGGGTGGCGGTTCCTGGCCTTGGCTGGGCGTTGAATTTGGCAGTGACCAGTGGTCGGGGAGGGCCTTCCTCAGTGGGTCTCACCCCGGCCTGCAGAAGGTAAGTGATTGGCTCAGAGCCACACAGCTCATACAGAGCTGCCCTGGGCAGGACCCGCCGACCTTCTTCCAAATCAAGGTTCTCTGACCCCGGCCCTCCTGCATGCCTTGGGTCCAGACGGTTCCCTGTTGCTGGGGGCTGTCCTGTGCATGGCGGGCTGTCTGGCTGCACCTCTGGCCTCTGCCCACTAGGTGCCAGTCGAGCACCTCTGCTTGTGACTACCTACAGTGTCTCTAGCGTGGCGCAGTGTCCCCTGGGGGCATCTGCCCTTCAGCACCACTGCCCTAGGCCACCTGGGTCTTCCCCACAGGGGGCTCTTGACGCTCTTCTCCCTTTTTGTTTTTATTTTTCCTGTAGAGCATAGAATTTGTGGCTCCCGGGTATACTAAAAATCAGCTTTTAGCCTCTGACCCGGGCTCCAGTGGGACCTAGGATTTTGTACAGATTGGCCCTTGGGGACAAGGCAGCTGCGTGGACCTGTGCAGTGTGTGGGGGGCACACAGCACCTTAGTGGTGAGGTCCAGTGTGGGGACACAAGGTGGCCCCCTCGGGTGTGAAAAGGGAAGCTGAGAACTCCTGTCTACATCATGATTTTAAACTTTAAAATGCATTCCTGTGTTTTCTACTGTTCAGAGCGTTAGTTTTAAGTGTGCACAAGAGTTTAGTATGCTTAAGTGATATACATAGAAGTGGTATACATAGAAGCATATGTAAGTGCCTGTGTGTCTGTGTAGATAACGCTTAGAACTTACTGGGAAGGCTGTCGGTGACAGGCTGTGGAGGCCACTGTGCGCTGTGGGTGGCGGTGTTACGGATAATGCCACCGAGTCACTGCTGCTGCGTGGACACAGCTCTCCCAGCCCTGAGGTTCACTTTGGCTCAGTTGAGCAAATGTTTACCGGTCAGTGACCGTGTGCTGGTTCTCTTGCTGGGGTGGTGGGGCCAGCTGAGATACATGGCAGGGACCCTGTGGCTGGGGGAGGGGAACGGAAACCACCGGTGTGATTACTCAGGAAGCCTTCCAGGAGTGCAGGGGGAGGACAGGAGATGACTCACACCGGGATGGGGAGGCTGCCCTGAGATGGACCCTGACACTCCAAGCCAAGGAGGCCCTGAAGTGTGGCGTTTGGAGCAGTGGTGACAGGTGGGTCCACAGCGGGCTGTGTGCAGAGCTGGTACACTGGGGGTGCTCCCAGCAAGGCTGCCCTGGGAGGTAACATATGGTGATGCCCCCATCCTGGTTGGGGGGCATCTACTGCCCCTAGTTCCTGGGGTGTCTCTTGCAACTGTGGCACCTCCCTGGAGGGACCCCTGGACTTCCTTACAACCCAGCAACTAAAGAGTTAAAGCCTCTCCGCCTCCCCCCACGACCTTGCCCAGCACCGTGGTGGTCCGAGTTAGTTCTGTTTGGTGGGTGCCCAGTGATACTCAGGAAAAACTGTGCAGGTTGTTAACCATTTGGAATATCACCGTTGGCTGCGTGTATCAAGTTACTGAATTTGAATTTTGTCATGAAGGTGATGGTCAGCCTTTGAAAGAGTTTGAGAGGAAAGTGGCATGATTTTGATTTAGAAAGATAGCAGGGAGGCAGAGGGGTCCTGGGGAGAGTGATGAGGCTGTGCATGGAGAGGAGGGGATGGACTCCACAGAGGTCAGGGGAAGAAGGGGGGGCCGGGGGCAGGGGCGAGAGCGCGCTCCATAGTGTGGTGGGTGTAAGACCCAGGGAGGCTGAGAAGGCGGACACCCACCCGGGTTTGGGGTGTGAGCCCATCCCCGAGATTCAGAGCACAGGAGGACAAGCAGCTGTGCTGGGAAGTGGGGGTGGTTGCCTGGCGGTGTCCGACTTCGATGGAGGTGGTTTTTCTGTGGATATAGCTGCAACCCAGCTACAGTGCCTTGCTGGACACAGTGCTATCACCTGCTGGGCTGGTGGGGGAGGGGGTTGCCACCAAAACCCAGCTAAGTGACCATCAGTAGCAAGTAAAACACTTTGAGATTGAGTAGTACCTAGAACTTCCTGCTGGGGGTGCAGAGGAGTCCAACAAGCCTGGAGGCTAGCACTGGCCACTTCCTAGTTAGAGACGGTCACCTCTCTGAGAATCAGTGCGTGGGGCGTGCTATGGGGAGAGTGATGGCCCTTGAGCGCTGCGGGGAGAAGAGAGTGTGTTGTTCTGCAAAAGCAGGTGCTCCGTGTGTGTGGGAGGGTGCCTCCCAGGTCCCCTGCCTTCCTCTGGGAGGTTGGTAAGTGGACGTCCAGCCAGGAAGTGATTTTGTTTCCATCACCACCACTGGTCCCCACCTGGGATTGGGCCTGCCTTCTCTCCAGCACACAGCAGACCTTGGTGCGTTCAGCTGAGCCCGACAGACCTCACCGCCCAGTTCAGACCAAGCGCCGAGTGGGGCCCTGGGGATCCAGGGAGGAATAAATGCGTTCCTACCTTTGGGTCATCAACTGGGGAGATGAAGAGCGATTATTTCTGTTGTTAAACAAAAGAAGCATAACCTAGAGCCACTGACCTGGGAAGTGCAGGATGTCTGGGCAGACAGAGGTTGGCTTTGACGGCAGCCCCGAGTAAGAGTCTCAGCTCAGTTATCCTGGGAACGTGGCATAAGGAGAGGCTGCCTGAACCGCTGGCTTCATTCCTAGGGGAGGCCATGTGGTTAACAGAGAGAGAGAGAGAGAGCTCTTACAGTGAGAGAGAGGACCTACAAGCATCCCATTAGAAAGAACAAGGCCAAAGACTTGAACTGATAATTATAAAAGAAAGGATTCAAGTTTCCAAGAAGCATTTCAAAGCAGGTTCAGAGGAAGACAAGTGAGATGCCATTTTTTTCTTTCTTTGACCGGAAGGCAGTGACAGAACCATAGTGTCACTCTGGCCTCACCTGGTCATTTTACAGGTGGGGAGATCGGCCCAGATCAGAGAAGGTACACACCCCAGGCACAGGAAGACAGAGGCAGGGCCCGCCGAACCACCTCTGGGTGACAGCGACTGCCAGCACAGCTGCGTGCCTAGGAGAGTGGACCTGCCGGGGGCGAGCCTCAGGTGCTAAGGCTCCAGGAAGCAAACCCAGGTTCTCTTGCAGACGGGGTCTTGCACTTGCCTGGCGTGGCCACAAGAGGCCACTGCCAAAAACCCTAACGGGTCCATGTTTTGCAATTGCCCAACTATTGAGTTTAATTTCAAAACACGAGGGAGTTTCCAGTTTTCAAAACGTGCATTTGAAGAGGGGAAAATCCATAAAATGCTGTGGCCAGGGTATCAGTTCATTTTTTTCCTTGTAAAATAAAGAGTGCATTAGGCAAACGTAAGAGCCGCTTTACCAGCGTTCCGAGGGGCTGTTCCAAGAGGAGTGCAGGTTAGAATCCAGCCCCTCTGGGGCTCTCCGTATAGACCTTCCATCTGGAGTCTGGCGTCCTCCCCAGGAAACTGCTCTGAGTCCCCTGCCTGAGCACCCTGGGTCCCGAAGCCACCCCCAGCGATGGCAGCGTGACGTCCGAGCGACCACTTTCCAGCCTTGCTCAAGTCCGTGTCCTCTCTGAGCCTCAGTTTCCTCTAAGGGGCTACTGGCTTCCTCTCAGAGCTGTTAGAAGATGGAGAGAAAGAGAAAATGTGTTGGAGAGAAGCAGGATGGGACGACGGTCCTGCGTCCCAGCTGTGGGGTCAGACCGTCACTTCCTGACTGTGTGGTCTTGGAACTCACTCACCTCTTTGAGCCCCCATTTCCTTGTCGGTTAAACAGCCAATTAGAAGGTCACTTGTCTTGTGGGCTTGCTGTGCAGTTGGAGACGGTCGGCTAAGCCGGCGGCATCCTGTCTGGCCTATCACAGGAATGTCATCCGATGTGGGCATCTGTGTGTATCTGCATGCTGCCTGGCATTGCTGCGCTCCCGTGAGCTCAAGTGCAGAGGCTGTGTGTACAGGTGAAAGAGCTGTCACCTCTGCCCCTCAGTGTTTATGCTAGAGTGTCAACTTCTCCATCCTGGAGAGAGCCTAGACAGGGGAAGCAGCTGGCCCAGCCTCGCAGTGTGAATCCGCACTCCCTCTGTCACAGCACTGGTTACTCTGCTCGCTTCCCTGTCTGTGGCGCGTGACTGTAAGCTCCCGTGGGCAGGGACACTCACGCAGAGCAGCATCCTCAGCATTAGAGCATCCCTCACCTAGTCTCCCCCACGGAGCACCTGCTAGCGCCAGTTGCTCACTGTTGCAAGCACGTCATCATGTACTAACCAGTTGAATCCTCATGTCGGACCTGTGAGAGGGGCCCCGTGATTCTCTGAATTTGACAGGAGGGGAAACTGAGACAGGAAGAGGAACTTCCCAAGCGTTGACCGGCTCGGCCAGGCAGCCTGGATCCGGGGCTGGAGCCCTTTGCTGCCCAGTGCTGCCGTCTGAGGCCTTCCGTGCATTTTGCTGGATTGGATTGAATCAGGAAGACTGCAAAGTGAGTAACACTGCAGTGCATGATGGGAGTGACCACAGGTGTGCATGCAAGTTGTACATCAGAGCTGTGACTGCGCCATTTCAGGGGGACAGGGCGCGACTGGATGAGTGGGAGGGAGGGGCCAGGGGAAGCCCTCAGCTCAGGAGCTGGCCTGTGCTGGGCAGCAGGGAGAAGGACTGGGAACTGCCATGCTATCCACAGGCTGCCTCGGCACACTCGGACACTCCATCACCCGCCACACCCCGCAAGCCCGGGTGGATGGACAGTGCGTGGGACTCATCCCAGGTACCAACTCTGTGGACAAGTGGAAGCTCTGAAGCCCTGTGCCGAGCAGGTTTGGGGACACGTCCAGTCTCAGTGGACAAAGCGCAGACAAGCCCCCATGTGTCCAGGAGGGGACTGTGGGCCACAGTTAGCCAGCCAGGCCCCAGGCCTGCCCTTCCTGGTCCCCACAGCTCCCCAGGCCTCCCAGGGCAGCCAGGCTGCCTGGCTGTGGGCTGGGGCTCTGCCTGGGGAGCCGAGTGTAACAGGTGGACCCACCCCGGCTGCACCCTGCGATGCTGGCACCGCGTGCTTCGTGCTCTTAACACACCGTGTGCGAGTCACACTCGGACACCCTCCGCCCTCCTCCCCCAGATGGAGTGGAGATGGTGACGCCCATGGCCGTCCCCAGCAGCTGGGCAGAGCCTCCACCCTTCCTCTCTTCTGCACTGTCTCTGTGCCGTGTTATTGTTGGCTGATGCGAACGGGCTGAACGTCTGCCAAACATCTGCTCACGTCTCCTGGATGGGCTCCCAAACAGACGGGCAGGAAGCAGCACCGCCCTCGAACTGAAGTGCCAGGGCCTGTGAGCTGCCACCCCAGGACTCTGCCTGGCTCGCCGGGGGACTGCTGGCAGCGCTGGACTGGGACCTGGCCTCTCTGGGGGGTTGGGGAGTTGGGGGGGGCCTCTTGGTTCTACATCCTCTCCTCTTCTCAGAAGGGACATGAACAGAGGAGATGCTGGAGATGGAAGGAGGGGGATACGTTAGAGTCCCTCTGCTCCTGGGACGGACGTGGGAAGGAGTGCTGTCTGGGCTCCCCAGAAATGGACGCTGAGACAAAGATAGAGCGCAGTGTATTTGATGTGATGTGAAACAGGGAGGAGAGGAAGGTCTGTAAAAGCAAGTGATCAAGCAAGTGATGTTGGTGACAACTGGGACACTGTCCCCGGAGAATCTCACAGCAGGATGAGTGTCAGTCACCCCACTTGTGGGCTGGGCACACGGGACACCTCATCTTCACCCCCCATCTGCTCCCAGTTGAGGGCTGCTCCAAGGATACCAGCTTCCTGGCTTTTCTGGCCTATCGCCCGGAGTGGGCAGGGAGAAAGCCCTCGGGTGAGGGTCCCAGGCGGTCGCAGCCACAGGGGATATGGGCAGGACACAGACAGTGCCCGCAGCAAGGGGAGAGGAAGGTCAGAGCCAAGGGCCGTCCGTCAGCCTCTCTTCCCCTCTGCCCTGTCCCCCGTCAGCTGCCCATCTCTGCTCTGTGCCCTCTCCTACCCCAGGATGGCATTTGGGACCTGGGAAGGCCTTCCTAGGTGTGTGGAGCACTGCCCGGGGGACCTGGACTGGTGACTGACGGGTGAGAAGCTCCCCCTGTGGACATCTCATGGACGACGACGATAGGAGTCTGGCTGGAGCGGTAGTGGCTGTCTGTCCTTCGGCCTCTCGGAACTTCCTGGCCCTTCCTGACTGATGGAGCTTCACCTAGCCTTCCATGGTGCTGGCGCCTTCGGGTGTGGGCCGCTTTGTCCCTGCCACTCTCCCGCCAAACTGTCAGCTCTCTTCTGTCCTCTTCCACAGACTGGGACTTCCGGGTCACGGGCACAGCACAAGGAAAGGGACGCAGGCCCGTGCCCCAGGTCCTGCTGGCCGGAGGGTACCAGGATGGCATTGCCCTCAGGCTCTGCAGATGGTGATCTCCCGACAGGCGGACCTGGCAGGTGAGTCTAGCATGAATCGGGCTAAAGCTTTGTTCTCAACTTCCCTAAGTCATCAGGATCAGATACCACAGCCGTCCCCTTCTCTTGCCAACCTCTCCTGTCCATTCCTGTGGGACCCCAGGTCGGGCCTTCACTTCCTCTGCTCCTCTCATGTCACGCTGTCCCTCTAGGGCAGCATTTGAGACCACAGTGTCCCTCGTGGGCCAGAGGCATTTTCTCTGTATGATGGAATGACTAAGCAATGCAGCATCCAGACCTGCTAAGCTAGGGAAGAATGAGGGGGGGAACCAAATAGGCAGTGCCTTCCGTGTAACAAGTGACGCTCATAAGCCTGCAGCGTGACGGGGAGTGGGGGGGCAGATCTTGTGGGGTGTGTCAGAGGCGGAAGGACCTGCTTTGCCTTCCTCCCATCTCCAGGCAGCACAGGATGGACTCACACATGAGGAGAGAAAAGCACATTGACATAGCTTAAAGTATTGCTATCCTGCCCAAATGGTGTGGGGTTAGGCAGGCTGCACCCCTAAAGACCAATCCAGTCGAAGGAAGGGCCTGTGCTCTTGTGTATGATCTTGAAAGAGATTTTAGAAACGCCTGTACAGAGATCCTGGGCTTCCAAGGATAAAGTCAGTTGAACTGAATTGCCTTTTGATGTATTTGTTGTTTTCTTCTGACTACAAAGTGAATATATACTTAACTTGAAAAATTCAGAAAAATGAAATATCGTTCATTTTCCATGTGTTTCCTTGACATGTATTTTATATGCTATAGGGCGCTGCCAGGCTCATAGCAGACTACGAAGTGACTCACCGGATTAAACCACTGAATTCTGGGGCCGTTGGTGACCATAAGGTACCCTCGCTTATTCTGACCAATTTGGAAGTCGGTGGTAGACGTGAGATGCTGCTGCAACGAAAGCTGACATTTGTGGCACTGACGTACTGGTTAGGCTACTGGCAAAGAGGACCCGGAAACTGGAGACCGTCAGCCCCAGCTACGCGGTGGTGAGACATTGACGCGCCGAGTCGCCTGCGAGGACTTGGAAGGCGTGTTGGTTCCTTGTTGGCTCCAGGGGCAGAGGTTGGGAGCAGAACATGGATGGTGCGTGCTGGTCATCACCGTGTGTGTCTAGCAAGGTGTTTACAGGGAAGAGATGTGCATGGAAGAAAGCTGACTGGCGTCCAAGAGTTGTACGAGGGCGTGGAGGGAGCGCAGAAATGGAAGCGGGGAAATCAGCTGCCTGTAGGCGGCATCACCAGAAATGGGATTAAGACAGACGGAGTGGCCAACAGTGAGGGTCAGAGGACGGATGTGGGGCCCTGTTGGAGTCGGGGCAAAAACCAGATGACAGGTGTGGCTCTAACACCTCCTGCTGAGCGCTATAGCAGTGATAATGTCTCAAGGCCTGAGGTATTGAGGGAAGGGCCTAGGGCCAGGGAATAAAGACAGCACAGATCTGGGAGCCCAGTCCTAAAGAACAGTGGGTGTGGTTCCTGAAGGACGAGGCTGACTACTGAGTTCCAGAGTCATACTGCCAAAAAAAACCCACCCCAAAACAGAAAAACAAACAAACAAAAAGTACTGAAAAGAAGGAAAGAAGAAGAAAAAGACCCTGGAAAAGCCTATGATTATTCGAGACCTTGCACCCTGGAAAGACCCTGAGATCCCAGCCATACAGGGAGCACAAAGGTTGAGAAAGCAACCCTCAAGGAGGACACACTCTCCAAAGGCCACGTCAGGGGTGGCCAAGGAGGCCAACTTCTGAAATGTGCCCTCGGAGAGCCGTCAGCGAGGCGCACCCTCCCGAGAGCAGAATCCAGGGCTAATCAGGGAGCACCCTCCAGGGACGTCCGTTTCTGTGGGCCAGCGACAGCTGGGTGTCTCCCGTTTTCCTCCCCTCTGAATGCCGGGTCGTGGCTGTTGTGCTGTCCTTACAGCACCACTCAGTGTGTAGAGGGCAGCTAAGTGGAACTTTTAGATCAGCAGTTGGCAGCCTACTGCCCGCTGGCCAGATCCAGCCCGCTGCCTGCTTTTGTAAATGAGGTCTGGTTGGAACACAGCCATGCCCATTCGTGCACAGGCTGGGACTGCCTGGGGGGCTCCATGGCAGAGTTAAGTAATTGCATCAGAGACCTTATGGCCCGCAAGCTGAACATATTTACCTTCTGGAAAAGTTTGCTGGTGTCTTTTCCTGGAAGACCAAGAGAAGCACGTGCTGAATGCATTTGAGCCTGTTTTGCCCATGGATGGGGCTGAGGGGTGTCTCCCCTGGGGACACGTGGAGGCAGCCTGGATCCCTGCGTCACCTACTGGAAGGTGCTTTCCTGGATGGCGGCCTGAGTCGGAAGGTGCGTTGAGAAAAACAACTTCCTTCACTGTGTGTGGAAGGGTGCAATTTTTCTGAAATGCAGTTTAACGACAGGGTTATCCCCTTTGATACAGTAATTCTATTTCTGGAAACTTACCCTCAGGAAATGGAAAGTGACATGAGTCAACATTTAGGGATAGAGATTTTCTTTCTAGCTTTCTTTATCATATCAGAATTGGAGATAATCTGAATGTCCAACAGTAACCAAACAGTTACGTAAATGACAGTTCCGTCCAGGCATCGCCTGCGTGTTGCTGTGTCTTGCTCAGTATCAGATGCCAGCAGCCTGAGACACGGGACGTGGGTCTGATCTAGTAACCTGCAGGTTGGCTGCCTCTGCCGTCCACACTGCACCCATCCACGCCCTGCTGACTGCCGGGACTGCGAACGGGGTTGGCGGGCTTGTCTCCTTTTCATCTCCTTGGCAATTCGCGCCTTCTGGCTGCAAAGATCCTTCAGATGGGCTCTTGGACATCAAACGGCTACAGCCCGACATTTGGTTACATAAAGTCCAAGTGAATCATGAACACGTGGATTATATTTTCGTTCAAATGCGCAGGGAATTCAGTTTATGGGAAAAGGGCTGCGGGCTGCACCAGCTAGCACTAGGTTTGGGAAATCGGTTGAGTTGCTGACCAGATCCTCAGTTATGCCCCTCTGCTCTTCCCCCACTCCCCAGTTCCCTCCTTAGCGCCCTGGAAATGACAGCTGTTTAATTCCAGGGGGTGCTGAAAGCTAGTCTTTCCTCCAAGAAAGATGGGAGGCCAGATAAGTTTGCCAGAGGTTCCTGGGTTTATTGGTTTTGTCCCAAAGCCAGCGAAGACTAAACAGAATGCAAAATGGACCCTCCCTTCCCCTTGGCTTCTGTGTTGGAACTGCCTTAGTTTTTATCTCTCTTTGCTATGTTCTCTGTCCTGATGGTGCCCGTCTCCTGTGTTGTTTGTCCCTTCAATGTTGGGATTCCCCAAGGCTGCTTCCTGTACTTTCCAGGTTATTTTCAATCTGAACTCCTGGCTTCGACTAATTTCTTTCTGGATGCTGATGATGCTCTGGTGTCTGTCTCCAGCCTGGCCCTCTCTCCTGACCTCGGGTTTGTGCATCCACGTGCCCACCAGCGCCTCTCCTCTCTGGGGCCACAGATGCTCCAGATTCACTGTGCAAACTGCATTCCTCCCCTTCCCTCATTCCAGCCGTTCTCTCAGTGTTCTCTATCTTAGTAACTGGGAGTGCCAGTCATTCAGTCACCAATTCCGTGACTTAATTCGTTCAGAAAACTTTGAGTTTTCACTGTGTGCCAGGCACCGAGTTAGCTAAGGGGACACAGATGAATAAGACCTGGTTTCTGCCCTCCGTGTCCTCACAGCCTAGTGGGGTAGAGGAACACAGAAACAAATCATTACAGGACACTGGAAAGCACAGCTTGAGAAATGCGCAGAGGATGTTACTCTGTGGGAAAGGGGCATGGATCACACCGGAAGTGGGGGCACTTGAAGGAAATGGGTGAGAAGGGTGATGCCTGAGCTGAGAATCAGAGGGTGAGTTAGGTCAGAGGAGGGGGAACGGGAGGTGAGACACAGCGGAGTGGAAGCAGACCCACAGCTTCAGGGTGGTTGCGGCAGGGAGTTTGAGGCAGGTGAGGCTGCAGGGTGTACGGGGGTGCCAGGTAATGGAGGTCTTACATCCCTGTTCATAGGTTTGGATTTTATCAGATTGTTTATGTGGAATTTCAGAGTGGGGTTAAGTGGAAAGTGGAAAGATCTGATTTCTGTGGCTATAGGAGAGGATGAATTTGAGGAGAGTAAGACAGGAAGCTAGAGAAGTAAGGAGATCCCCTGAGTTCTCGCCACCAAACTGGACCCAAACTGACTTGATGTAAGAAGAGTGGAGCTTGCTCGACTCTCTAAATGGTGGACTTACTACATATCTCCCAGCTCGAGGGGAGCACAGACACGACGCCCCAGGGCTACCATGGGCCTTTGATGTTGGTCCCGGTGCCCACGTCATCTCTGTGCCCTTCACCGCTCTCTGGCTACCTGTTGTTTCCTGGACCCTCCCCGGGCTGCGATAGGGCCACTGTCCTTCCTGTTCCCCATGCTGCAAAAGATGCTCTGGCTGAACCTCCACGGTCGGCTGGCCAGATGTCTATAGCATGTTAATTCTTCCTACCTTTTTGTCCAGGTTGGAGGAGATCCCCAAGCTTCCACGGAGGCATTCTGCCTGTGATGCTGAGCATGACCTGCTTTGATTAAGAGAGGTAATGAATATGAAGTGATTAATACAGTGCTTAGCACACGTAAAGGCTCAGGAAGTGGTAACCATTATCTTTACCACCACCGTCACCACATCATCACCATCATCATCACCATCACCACCACCATCACCACCACCACCATCACCACCACCACCATCACCA